AGTCCGAGGAGTAGGAGCTGCGCTCCGCGGGCGTCTGCTCCGGGACCCGCTGGAGGATAGGGAAGCCCTTGCGGGCCACCTTCCAGAAGCCTCAGACCAGGGTTTAGGGTTTAGGGTTTAAGGGTTTAGGGTTGAGGGGCGTTAGGGGTTAAGCGACTTTAGGGGTTTATAAGCGGCTTTAGGGGTTTATAGGGGTTTAGGGTTTAAGGGTTTAGGGTTGAGGGGTTTTAGGGGTTTTAGGGGTTTATAGGGGTTCATAGGGGATTTAGGGGTTTATAGGGGTTTAGGGCTTTAGGGGCTTAGGGGCCACTTTCCAAGAGCCTCAGTCACTCAAGGACCTAAACCTTTAAACCCGAGACCCGAAACCCCAAGCCCTAAACCCTCAAGACTGAACCCTGCACCCCTGAACCCTAAACCCCGAACCCTCCACCCGAAACCCAAACCCCTAAACCCTAAACCCTAAACCCTAAACCCTAAACCCTAAACCCCTAAACCCCTAAACCCCTAAACCCCTAAACCCGAAACCCCAAACTTTCCAGAATCGTGAGAGCCAGCGAGTCCCATGGACCCCTTTTTGAAGGAGTGGGTTTAGGGTTCAGGGGTTGAGGGTTTAGGGTTTTAGGGGTTCAAGGGTCTAGGGGTTTAGAGGTTTTAGGGTTGAAGGGTTTATGGTTTTCGGGGTTCAAGGGTCTAGGGGCTTTGAGGTTTAGGGTTGAAGGGTTTAAGGGTGTAGGGTCTTAGATTCTCTAGATTCTCTTCAGGGCCTTCATCCCTGGGCCCTAAACCCCAAAGCCTTCAGCAGTAAACCTGAAATTGGAGGGCCCTTCATCCCCTAAACTCCACGCTATGAGTTCGAGGGATATTCAGGGGTGTTTGGGACTCTGGTGAGTTTTCTGTTCTCAGAAAAAAACCCGGGCAAGAGGACCCGAAGGACCAGCCGGAAGCGAACCCCAAGGAAAGGGGTTCGGGGTTTAGGGCTTATACCAAAAATACCCTAAGCCCTAAAGCCTGCACGTTCTTAGAGTTTAGGGCCTTTCGGATTTTAGGTCTTGGTCTAGGGGTTCAGGACATCAGGGCTGCTTGAAGGGGATCCATGAGGGTTCCTGTGACTTTCTTCCTTGCAGGGGCCTTATTGATTGGAATAGGGTTTCGGGCTCCTTCATATATTTTAATTACAAGATACCCTAAGGAATAATGTTGGTGTTTGTTTGTTCAAGCTCCTACTGTAACTGAAGGGCCGCCTAAAATCTTAGAAATCCCATCGTCAACAAAGCCACAGTACCTCCCAGCCTCCCTAAACCCTAAGCCCTGGTTAGGGTGTTTAAGGTTTAGGACTTCAGGGTTTGGGGTTTAGGCTTTAGGGTTTGGGGTTTAAGTTTTTAGGTTTTCAGGGTTTGGGGTGTGGGGTTTAGGGTTAGGGTCTAAAGCTCTACAACTCTCAACACCAACCACCTTTCTGCCCACCCAGCGCTAAGGGTGACGGCCTCATCCACCATAGTAAGAACTTGAAGGCTCCCCCTCATGGGGCTTAGCGCGTGGGGTTTAGGGTCTGCTTGAAGGTTCATGGGTAGTTATACGTAGGGTTTAGGGGTGTTTAGGCGTGTTTAGGGGTGTTTAGGGTTTAGGGGTTTAGGGTTTGGACGGCTCAGCACTTGGAGCTGCTATGCAAAATCAACGTCCCAAGACTGCAGTGCTCAACGATTTTTACCCCAAAACGAGGCCCCTTCTCAACCCGACAAGACCACGCCTAAAACCGTTGAAAAAACCCGGGACTCTCTGCCAGAGTCTCTTTGTGCTGAAAGCCGAGCGGCGCCGGGCGCTCGCCCTCCCGCGCGCGGCAGCCAAGGCGAGCTGCAAGGAGGAAGGCCCCATGGCTTTCGTCGGCTTTTTGTTTAATGGGTTTAGGGTTGTAGGGTTGTAGGGTTGCAGGCCCAGTGCAGGCTTGTTGTTAGGGTTTAAAAATGGAACTTCGAGATCCTGGGCTTCCGGTCTCTGGGGACCATGAGGTTTTAGGAAGGTACGTGGGACTCGTGAAGCGGGTCTTGATGAATTTTAGTAGGGTGCGTGGCGAACCACACTCGACAAGGTTTAATGTTGACATTTCCAACACGATCCTTACTAAGGGACCGGGTTTTTGATGAGTTCGGGGTCTGCACGGGACCCGAACTTCCTAAATCCTGAAGGTTTAGGGGTTTCTCCGGCTACACCGCCTGCTTTGCCGCGGCACCGATGCTTCGGGGTTTACATGCGGCTAGGGGATCGCAGATGAAACTGCTAGTAATAGCAATAATCATAAACAAGGTCAATACTCGTAATAACAATAATCGTCACGATAACAAGACAACGCTATATCCACTGTTGGTGTTGTTGTATCATCAGTAGTA